AACTTCAAGAATTTTATTCACATTCAACGAAGTTTTAAGATTTAATTTTAAAAATTTATAAAGAATTTTAATAAAACTTTTATTAAATCTTTTAAAAGTTTTAAGTTAAAATACGAATAAAATCCTCGTTAAATCGAAAGTTAAATTCAAATTACAACAGGATTAAGACTTAAATTAACGTAAAATTATTAATAAAGTTTGAAATTTAGAACATAATAAAATACTGTTTTATTCCCAGTAGAACTTTGATTAAATGTTAGCAGAATTATTGTTAAATTTTAATAAAATATTATCCATTCACGCTCTAGTAAGAATTCTGTTCAAATTAGCAAATCTATCCTCTCCCATTTTACCATTTTGAAAAGATCACGCGATGGAGAAACTTTACTTCTGATTTCTTCTCTCTCCTTTTTTTTTTTATTATTATTAAACGAAATTCAAAAGAATGATAAATGGATTTTCCATATATCGATGCTCTTGACAATTTGTATCACGGTATACTCTCCAGGAAATAATAAACCGATCGAAAACCCACTTGTGATTGGTTGATATGTAACACGTGAAAACCGACGTCATTACAAAAGCAATGCTTATCTTCATCCCCAATTCCATTTTCTATTTTTGTTATTGATTATAAACTAAGTTCAATATTAAAGCCATATTCAATTTTTGTAACTAAATATCGTCCTTGTAAACTTACAACTTGAATTTGTCATATTGATTTTAAATTGGCCTTTTAAATGACATTAAAAAAAAGGAAAACTCTTTTATTTATTTATTTGATTAAATTTTAATAATTATGTTACCGAAAATGGCGTCAGAATAATTTTTATAGGTTTTCCTCTCCCCGTTCTTTTCTTCATTTTAAGTCTTTCTTAAATTAAATTTTCTTTACAAGCTATTACTGTACTTGACAGTTTTTGTAACTCTCGAAAAATGCCAGCCAATGTTGACAGATGTTGACAAGTATGGACATGTCAGTCTGTGCGTCATCCTTTTGACGGCGGTTTAAAAATAATTTTATAAAATTTATATAAATAAATATCAAAATAATATTTGTAAAATTTTATTCTGCATTCTTTCAGTAATTTTAATTATTAATAAAAGTCTTTTTTTTTCAAATAATAAATTAAAATATTAATTTAAATTCTTTTTTAAACTTTAAAAATGATATTCCTTTTATTTTAAAAAGTGATAAGTTTTAATTTTATAACGTTATTAATATATTAATCTTGAAATTAAATTTTTATACCATTAATTAAATATTAAACATGTAATTTTATCTAGAATAAATTTTTTTTTTCAAAATTATAGGTGGTTTAATATATTAATATTGTAAAAGTTATTACATTTTTTAAAATAAATTTATTCAGAATTTTTATATAGAAATAATGAAGAAATTTCAAATAAATTTTAATTTAAACCTTTCGCAATTGTGTATTCTCGGATTATAAATTATTAAAATTTAGAAATTTGATGCATAATAATGGGTTTAATAATCTTTAGTATGTTAAATTGCTTTATCAGATTTAGGAAATCGTAAAATATCACAAACAATGTCTACGGAATTCGAACTCAGAGTGTGTTCATTCTAGTGCAAAGTCCTGACATTACCGAATCTCAACAGATAAGCCAGATCAGACAAATGTGTTGAGATGTTAGAAAAAAAAAAAGAATAAGAAGAGAAAAGAAATTGGAAGTTCAGCAGATCTGTTACAATTTTTGATGACATCTCATCATTTCGTGACAAAATTAATGGAAAATGGTCAAACAGAACTAAAGTGAAATGACAATTCGCATGACCAAAGAAAGGAAAGTCTAAGAAGAAATGAAGGTTGCGGTTTATTTAAATAGAGAATAGTACATTCTTTCTATTTTTCTAATCTTTTAATGTATATATATATTTTTTTTAAATGTATATTATTTACTTAAATCTACTTTTGTAATTTATATTTTGTTTGTTGTTGCGCATTTATCTTTGTTTTTATTTACTTTATTTTTATCTCTTTCTTCCCAATTTTATCTGTACATAAAGCCGAATAAAATATTTGTTGACAGAAATTAAATTACACTTAATATAAAAATAAACAAACTTCGAAAATTTATAGCTATCGCTTATCACAATCATTATACAAATGAGAATTGTTAGAATTTTCTATGACGTTATTTATACATAACTATAATCCAGATAACCACAAGATCATTTTTGATTTTTTTTTTTCTTTCCAGATAGTTATTGAGAAAATAAGTATATCGCGTGACCATTCTTGTCTAGTTGAGTTGAGTGATCATGCAAGAATGAGCGGCATATTTTGCATGCAATCTGTAATTTTCCGGCTTCTAAACTTACAAGTTATTATAAAATAATTTATTAGAGATTTTAGCATTCTTATAACTCAAAATATATATTTATTTATGTAATACTTTCAGCCATATCATAAATATAAAAAGAGCGTTTGCCCCTGTAAAGGTTACTTTCTCTCATAGTAGGTAAGCTTTACAGAGGTACAATTACGTAGGCGTCATTTGATGAAAATGCATTTTATAAATTATTTTTTCAATTTAAAAATTTAATATTTTTTTTTTTCAAACTGAGAACGAAAATATTTTAGTAATTTATAGCTGTCAAAATAAGTTTAATAATAATATTATTATTTTTTTTAATACACAGAATTCAATCAAACTGGAATTCTTTCATATAATTGATTTTTAAATTACTTCGAAAACATTTTTTACTTTTTAATTTATTTAGAAAAAAAAATTTGTAAAAATCTATTGATATCACCTTTAAAATGTTGATAACTTAACTACTAACTATTTACATTTATATATAATTTATTTATTTATTTTTTTAATTCTGAGATATTAATTATATATGTTATATCTTGATAATGTTATTTAATAATATATTATATTTTTAAATATTTACTAAATATATTTTTCTCACAAAAACTAACCTACAAATTCTACTGTTCTAAATAAAAATCTTAAAAATAAGACCAATGTCACCATTAAGGTCAAGTACCTTAAAATTCAATATTATCCGTAACCCTCCAAATTTTTAACCACTTTATCATTGATCCTAAGCTATATTTATATCAGAGAAGTGGTTAAAAATAAATAAATCACTCACCTTATCCATCAACATAGGTTGAAGATAAGGAGGAGGGTTATGATGATTACTAGAATCGGACTTCTTCTTCAGAGGCGATACTAGAACTTGATAGAGAAGAGATCTTCTTCTTCTGGGACGTCTAGCCGGTGTTGATGAAGAATCGGTTGATGAAGAACCAGAAGAACTTGTACTGGCTGCTGACGAATTGGACGAGTGACCTTTGCTCTTGATGTGAGAGACCGTTTGGGTCTCACGGAACTGTACTATGGCTTGGAACATGTTGAAATTCTTTCAAAAATCGATTAACATCAATAATCACTACCGCATTTTGACTATCTGTAAAGTCCTTATTTCATCTCGTCTTGATGTTTTGGCACCATTTCAAATTTCCTTATCCTTTAAAATATCAACCTTTGGCTTCGACATTTCCCACAAATGACTATTTTGTCTTCTCTTTTATCCTATAAATAGCGTTACACCTCATAATATTTCACCAACCGTCCTCTAAAGTTCCAAACGGTGACCGAGGATAGATTCATTTACGTTTCAGTTTAATCCTACCGATATACGTACGTTCGTATGGACTTGGGCCCACTTGGACGATCGAACGATGTGACTACATCTCCGAGCATCGCCGGTGATTCGTCGTCATGGAAACAATGCCGAGCAGGCGCAGTGGAAGTTGGTGCGGCCACTGGCCTCTACAACAAACCCCTTCTCCAATAACGTCGCATACCTGGTATCTTTTTGGGGACATTCTCTTCCTTTTCCATCCAGACATACGATTTTTGACTGGAAAATTTTACAATTTTGCCTTTTTCTCTCGTTCTTCCTATCGATTTATCCCCTTCAATGTTTCTCTTAATTCTTCATTTTAATTGCAATTTTTTTTAAATTGATTCTTATTAAAATTTATAAGAATCTACATCAAATAGTTTAGGATTAAAAGTAAACATTTCCTGGATACGAGACATGATTAATCCTCTTATCTCCTTCTTCCATTCTCTGTCTTTCTTCTTTACGAGAATCACAAGAAAATTTCATTTTCACTCGAAACTATGAACCATTCTTTCGATTTCCCATTCAATAATCAACATCCCTTGTCATTTTATATTACCAGATAATAATTATTATTCAGTTTAATCCAGTTAAAACTGAATTGTTTATTACTGTGTAAAGTTAATTAATTTATCACTAAAGCAAGCATATCCCATTAAATTATTATTTAAATTATATTTCTAAATATATTATACAATTTCATTTATAAAAATTTCATATAATTAATTAATAAAAATATTCAATGATTCTTATTCATTTCAAATAAATATTGAATTAAATTTCATTAAACATTTACTTGATTTTTCAAATAATTTTAAATTATTTCATAAAATTTATAAAATATTTTAATGAAATATTACCTAATAAATATTAAACCAATTTTTTTATAATATATAAAAAATACATACATAAAACTCCACTTAAATCCTTTCGTATATATTCAAGTTATAGAATTTTTTAAAAGATTCAAATTTATACATAAAACTTATTGAATAAAAAAAAAGAAATCTAAAATATAATATGCAAAAAGACATGAAGATGATTTAAATATTTAAATATACTTTTTATTTGTTTGCTATTTTTTTTATCTAATTTTTTTTCTCTTTATTGCCATAAAATAACTTAATGTTTAATTTTAGATACTTAAATTAATTATAATTTTATTTTTAAGAATTTAAAATCACATCTGAAATCATAAATCTTGATAAATATTATTATAAAATTTATTTTCAGAAAAAAAATATATATATAATAAAAATAAAATTCANTTTTAAGAATTTAAAATCACATCTGAAATCATAAATCTTGATAAATATTATTATAAAATTTATTTTCAGAAAAAAAAAATATATATAATAAAAAGAAATAATATATCTAATACTTGTTTAATGATTTTTCTATTAAACAAAAATTAAATAAAAATTGATTTTCTTTCATAAATCTCAAACAATTTTCCAGAATTTTAATTACCGGTAATATTTAAATTTTTAATTTATAAATTTCTCATTAGAATTATCAATATTTATTTATTTCTTAAATGGGAGAAAATTTAGAGTCATTTAGTGTTATTTTAAGACAAATATCTTTTACACATGTAATTTATTGGTAAGTTTGGCAATGTTCCAGGATATTGAAGCAAACAATTCCTTTATAGTCTAAGGTCAAACTCCCTGCTAAGCCATTCACATGTATTTTTCAATGTTTTACATCCTTTTACACAATTTTTTTCTAATTTTCCTATTATCTTAAAGAAAAAAAAGAATCATTCTTTCTTACATTATCCATCCCTTCTCTATGTATATATATATATAATTCATAAGATTTATACATATATAAATTCATTTCTTATTAATAAAATAAAAATAAATAAGTATCTATCAATAAAACAATTGATCTTACTTATAACAAGTTTGTTTCAACTCCACTCTCTAGAGACTATAAATTAATAATACAGATGCTGATGGACTGTTAACCATCCTTGACTTTCCTAAGTACTTTTTTGATGTCTTTGAAGCATTCTATTTTAATACTTTTTATTTGTTTTATGATTTATAGTTAATAAAAAAAATAAGAAAATTAAAATAAAAATTTACTTATATTTATCTCTCTTAAACTTTATTTATTTAATTTTTTTTTTCTCTCTTTCTTTAATATCTGGCTAACTCAACTATTGTTATATTCATTATTAGAATTCTCATTCAAAACTAAAAATCCTTTACAAAAATCTTATCTAATGAAGACATTTGCTACTCTTTTATTTTCATTTCCTTTTACTTTTATGACAAACAGAAATATTCTTTTTTAACTTTTATTATGAAAATTCATTCCCCCTATTTGAACTGTTAAAATTAATGTTAATCTATAAACATTTTTTTTTTTATCTCATTGTTATTAATTTTAAACAGAGTCAAAATTGCTTTAATTCCTTTAAATGCTTATTCATTTACCAGAAAACATCTTAAGGAATATATTTTAATGATAAGAAGTCTTTTTGACAGCAAACTATTTGAAACTGTACAACACAATACATATCTAGTTCTTTGATTATTCTTAAATTTGTATGATAGTTACTAAATCATGTAATACTTTATTACAAATAAAACTTAGATTTGAAACTATAAAATATATATATTTTTTCTATGTTTAGTTATTAATAAGAAAAAATGATAAATTGCATTATAGAATTTTAAATTTTATTGTTAGTTTTAAATTGCATAATATTTTATTCCCATGCAGAAAAGTAGCATTAATCAGAAGAAATTTTCACATTTGGCAGTAATTTATTCCATTTCCTTTTTCTTTATTTTTGTTGAATTCGTTTATTTCCTTGCAAATTTTTATAAGATAAGGAAAAAAAAATTATCTTCCTTATGATTTCTCATTCAGAATATAAATATATATATCTATATTTTCACTCATATTTTCGAATTATCGACTTCACTTCCACTTCTATAAATGTTGTGATTCCATTTAATGCTTTCACTCTCAAAATCAATTCTATTTTTCTATTTTTACTTCAAGATTAATATCTTATTCAAGATAAAATCAGATAAGCAGCTACAACAAAAGATAGTACTGTTAAGCTATTTTAATACAAATAAAAAAAAATTATTTCCAGTCATTCTTAATATTTTTATTTAAAAAAAATAATCAGAAAAAATTCCTTCCTTTAGATATAAAATGTTTTTTTTTTAAAAAAAACCCCAACTTTTTAATGGATATTTTTCCATTAATAAAATGAGATTTTTAAATAATAATAAAGTAATTTTGTTACAATGATTGTTAATATATATATATTAGACAATAAATAAAAATTTTACATTATTTTCCAATGCCCACATTCTAATTCAGAGTCACAATATAGGAAAAGAAGCATATTTTATCATCTTACAAGCTTGTGATGGATCTTTTATGATATATTGAGAAGATCCCTTCAGTGACATAAATTCAGAATACAAAAATTGCTCTTTTGATGCTAAATCTTGCATGGAATCCCAAATTGAGGCATTTGTACTGGAATATAAAACCCCCATATAAGCCAATCTAGAGAATTTTGAAGCCGAAAAATCTAAATATCCGTTTGGTCATTCAATATCTTATCTTATTGAAAAATTCCTTCTATCTAACAAAAGGATAAATTATAATATTTTAAGTAATATTTTGTATTGTTATTAAAAACATGTTTTAAAGCTAAGATAAATATGTCTAAATTCTTTTTTTATACGTATTTTCTTGTAAAAATATGTGTTTAAGTGATGAAAATCAATCTAAATAGTTGGAAAAGAGGGAAAAAGTATGAGTCACACCCCGATAACGGAAATGGAATTTTGTACTATACAAGTATCGTTTACCATTTTCAATTTCCGTATTTGCAAAAAAAAAAAACCCTCTTGAACTGTGTCTATGTATACATAAACCTATCCATTTATATGAATTACAAAATGTTATGTAAAAACAAATTAAAAAATAATAACATTTCTATGAATAAATATTTTAGTTATTACCTTTCTTTATGATTAATCCACGTTCGAATTTATTACTTTCTATATATATACCTTATTTAAATTTAAAAAAATAAAATAAATAAATGAATTTGCATAGAGAATCAAAACAGCGATAATCTCGCTTTGTTATTGGCTCATTTAAATTTTGAATAAGCCAATTAAGAAAACATGCGACTTAAAAAACGGTTTCGGAAATTCGTCGTCTCTTAATCAATAATGGAATATTTTTATACGTCTGACCATAGAGGTCATAAAATTTGCATATCATTATGCATAAATTAGCATATCTAACCTTTATATAAACTAAATACAAAATTTTAATCCCCTTATCAGATTGAATAACAAACAAATAATGGGATTATAACGTAAATATGTGTATTCGTCTACTATCTCTTCATTAATGTTATAGTAATGTTAATTATTACATGCCAACATCCCTCAAACTGGAGTTTCTAATAAGAGAATATATACCCGTCAATACAGTGACGTCACAGTTGCCGAGGTAACGATCCGGGTTCTGGATCCATCAATACCTTCTCCACGATATTTGAGATTATTGCCACTGTTTAAAATAATGTAACCAATTGTAATTCGCTTATTGCCTTATATATATCCAATTTCAGTATAAAATATCTGGCTATTTAATTCACTCCTCGCATACGGAAACAGTTTAGTTTCTTTTAAAGAAACTAGAAGCCATGAAAAAGACTTTTTTAAAGGAAGAAAAAAATTAAGAAAATAAATATAAAAAAAGAGGAGGAAAACCATGACAGTCAAAACGATGATATATGATAATCGCCTTTTCTATAGATTCTATATGCAAGAGAAAACTATATAAGAGAAGAAATCTGCATTACTATTGGATTTTCATCGTTATCGTTACACATTCCATTCATATTTTTATGTTTTATTTACCACCTTGCGTGGATATCTATGTTTATTTTAATGCCAAGTGAGATCCCCAAAGTCATACAAGCTGTAATTTATGAGACGGAAAATTATGAGCAAGACAATAGCGTGATTATTGAAGATGGTACCGTAAATGAAGAGAACAAAAATGCTTCTCAAATATCGCTATATCATGCAACATCGAGTCAAGTCAAATCTCGTATGAATCATGTTGTCATTGTAATGATTATTGATATCCGTAGTTATAACTTAAAGTTTCGTATACGTGATCCGTTTTACTTTTAAAGCTACTCATTATATCCTTTTATGTAAAGGAAATCATTACACTTTTCAGGTATTATTACGTAACTCAAAAGTATGAATTGAAACATTTAGTTACGTAATAATGAATTTCTCTTTCGAGAATAAGCATATTGTTACGTAGATTAAACGTATAAAGAAGGGATGCATTGTTACGTAACTGAACGTGAAACAATTCTTAAAGTGTTATTATACATAATTAAAGAGTAAAATATATTGTTATGAAACTAGATACGTAACAATACATTTTTTTTCTTTAATTTATCAAGGAAAAATAGTTTTTTAAATCATTATAGTAAATAATAGATATTCAAAAAACTTTACATCGTTCTTTTTTTTTTATATTATTAGTGTAAATTATTATATAATTCCTAACACGCAGATGCACGAAAAAA